GTTCACGCATGTTGCAGCCTGTGTCAGAGTTTTATTCATTTTTAAGGCTAAATAATATTCCATTGTATGTATAGACCGCATTTTGTTTATCCATTCACCTGCTGATGGACATTTGGGTTGTTTCCACCTTTTCGTTCTTTCGAACAATGCTGGTACAGAGGTGCACAAATATCTGTTCAAGTCTTTGCTTTCAATTCTTTTGGAGAGATACCCAGAAGTGGGATGGCTGGATCGTATGGTGATTCTTTGTTTAATTTTTGGGGGAACCGCTATACTCTTTTTCCCTGGGGACTGTACCATTGTACCTTCTCACCAGCAATGCACAGGTGTTCTAATTTCTCCACATCCTCATCCACACTTATTATTTTCTCGTTTTATTTGTTTTTAAAAAAGCCTTCCCAATGGATGTGAAGTAGTATTTCATTCTGTTTGTTTTTTTTTTTAATTTTTTTTTTCAACGTTTATTTATTTTTGGGACAGAGAGAGACAGAGCATGAACGGGGGAGGGGTAGAGAGAGAGGGAGACACAGAATCGAAATTAGCCCAGGTTCGATTACCGTAGAGCCCCGACGCTGCCTCGAACCACGGACCGCCGCCAGATCGCACCCGGCTGAAGTTGGACGCTTTTAACCGACTACCTGCTACCATCCAGGTGCTCTTCATTCTGTTTTAATTTGCATTCCTTAATCCATTAGTGACGCCGAAGAGAATAATGCGGGTTATTGGAAATTTGTCTATCTTCTTTAGAGAAATGGCTATGCAACTTCTTTGACCATTTTTAAATTGTGTGTGTGTATGTGTGTGAGAGGAGAGAGTTGTGGTTCTTTATATGTTCTGGATATTAATTCTTTATCAGATATATGATTTGTATGATATAAACATTCTTAAATGGTAGACTAATTTGAAAAGGGCTATGTGCGTAGATGCATTATAAGGTATTTTTAACAACAACACAAAAATGAAATTTGAAAATTTTTTGGAAGTATATACATCAAAAATGTGATCTATTATCTGACTGATAGAAAGAATGATTTTGGCTCTGTTTTCCCTTTGTGTTTTCTATACTCTGAGTTTTCTTAATCGAATGTGTATTATTTATTTATTTATTTATTTATTTTATTATTTTAAAAAATTATTTATTTATTTTTAATGTTTATTTTATTTGAGAGAGAGAGAGCAGGGAGGCAAAAGACAGACATATGAGACAGAGAGAAGCGGGTTTCTGTACTGACAGCAGAGAGCCCAAGTTCAAATCACAACTCAAGATCGTGACCTGACCTTATTATTATTATTTTTTTTTAAGTAATCTCCAGGGCACTGGGTGTCACAATGCTATGTCCACCCTTGATTCAGCTCAGTTCATGATTTCAGAGTCTGCGAGATAGTTTCGAATCACCCATGCCATTGCAGCTCCCCCCCCCCCCCCCCCCCCCCCCCCCCCTCAGAGCCTCGGTTTCTGATTCTATGTCTCCCTCTCTGCCCCTCCCCTGCTCACACTCTCTTTCAAAATAAAAATGCATTAAAATTTAAACAAATAAATAAAATAAAACTTTAAAATAAATAAACAAAAAATAAAAAGTGATTTCACATCCAATGTGGGGCTTGGAACTCACTTAATCTCAAGATCAACAGTCAATGCTCTGGCTCTGACTGAGCCAGGCCGGGCACCCAGAACAGGTGGCTATTTTTTTTATACTAGGGAAATTATCATTAAATTACTATTATTGGTATTAAAGGTAGAGTCCTAAAGTAAAATTTTTAAAAGGGAGCTGTTGTTTTCAGTGCAGTTAAAACAACATTTATTGAGGGTCTCCTACATGCCAGTGCCACAAGTTTCCCTGGTCTATTGGGGACAAAGCCACAGCACAGTAGGGGAAAGGAGGAAACTCAAGGAGGGCTCCCCCACTGGCAAAATCTGGCACAATTGAGGATTAAAATACATACTATTAATGAGTTATACTTCACTATATAGAATTACAGAATTTTATAACTATAATAAATTGCTATAATCAATAATTACAAATAATCCACTCTAAGAATCCTTTGGGTCCATACTGACAATAAAACAAACAACAGGAGATACCATGGCTCAGCTGGTAGAGCATGCAAGACTCTGATCTCAGGGTTGTGTAAGTTCCAGCCTCTATGTTATGTGTAGAGGATTAAAAATAAAATCTTATGCTTGGTGATGAAGTCGGGTTGTTGCCTCCCATTCTTCAGCCATCATCTGCTGTCTCAGGTTCGAGTCTCCCATGCTGGCTCTGGCTGATGGCTCGAGCCTCCACTTGCTCTCGGATTCTGTGTTCCTCTTCTCTGCCCTCCCCCTGCTCTCCATGCTCTGTCTCTCTCTGTCCCAAAAATAAACGTTGAAAAAAAAAATTAAAAAAATTAAAAAAAATAATAAAAAAAAAAATAAAATCTTTAGGGGCACCCAGGTGGCTCAGTTTGGTTGAGTATCTGACCTTGATTTCAGCTCCACATGACCAGGGTTGTGGGGATCACACTCTGTTGGCTTGTTGATGAGCATGAAGTCCTGCTTAATAGTCTCTCTCTCCTGCCTCTGTTTCTCTCCTGCTCATGCTCTCTCTCTGGGGTGGATTATAAGTGCCTAAGGGCAGTCGGTTGCTGTCCGACTCTCAGCCAGGTCACGGCCATGTGGCTGGGAGTTCGAGTCCCGCGGTGCAGGCTTCCTGGTTGATGGCCCAGCTGGAGCCTGCCTGATTCTGTGTTCCCTCTCCTCTCCTGCCCTCCCCGTTCATGCTCTGTCTTCTCTCTCTGTCCCAAAATAAATAAACGTTGAAAAATAAAAAAAATTAAAAATAAAATCTTGGGGGGTGCCTGGTGATGTCGGTTAAGCGTCGGACTTCAGCTCAGGTCAAGATCTCGCTGTCCTGCAGTTCGAGCCCCGGCCGGGTTTGGCCATGGCTCAGAGCCTGGAGCCTATCTCCCATTCTGTGTCTCCTCTCTGCCCCACCTGCTCATGCTCAGTCTCTCTCTCACCTCAAAAATAAATAAACTTAAAAAATATATATTAAAAAAATAAAATAAAATAAAATAAAATCTTTACCTCTTAGAGTTAAAAAAATCAATAAAAATAAAATAAAATATTTTAAAAAATATATGAGATATGGAAAAGCTCTTCCTTACAATAGAATGTCATCTGGAATAGGGGCTTTGGCATGGTATAGGTCAGTTAAGTCAGTCCGACTTCAGCCAGGTCACCATCTGCTGTCCGAGTTCGGGAGTCTGCTGGCCAGGCTCTGGCTGAGGGCTCAGAGCCTGGAGCCTGTTTCCCGACCAGGTCTCTCTCTCTGCCTCCCCTGCTCATGCTCTGTCTCTCACTGTCCCAAAAATAAATAAACGTTGAAAAAAAAAAAAAAAAAAGAATGTCAACTAAATAAATGGGAAAGGAGGGATAGATTTAGAAAAACCATTTTAGAGGCACCTTGGTGGCTCAGTCAGTTAAGTGTCTGACTCTTGATTTAGGCTCAGGTCATGATCTCACAGTTCATGCATTCAGTCCTGAGTTGGGCTCTGTGCTGCCAGTGTGAGGTCTGCTTGGGATTCTCTCTCTCCCTCTCTGCCCCTCCCCCCTCAAAATAAATAAAGCAACATTAAAAAAAAATCATTTTATACCATCATAGTAATGATTGATTCAGGCAAGGATCATAAATAGATAGGAATTAAAAGGCCCAAACTTGATGAGGAACAGGACTTTAGTTAATTTTATTTATTTTTAGTATTTAATTTTTTTTTTTTTTGAGGAACAGGATTTTAGATCAAAGTACCTCCCCACAGATTACTTAAATTACAAAATAGAAAATAACTATCGGAGGGAAACCTGGTGGAGACCACTAAACCAAGTGATTGAAGTTAACGTCAATAATAATGAGATAAACTGACACGGTGTGGCTCTTGATGTGAGGTACTGAGAAAGAAACAGCATTCAACAGCACTTGTGTGGTGTTCTTGCCAAAAATGTGTAAGTCGAATTATGAGGAAACATCAGACAAACCTAAACTGAGGGACATTCTACAAAACAAATGGCCAACACTCTTCCCAAAATGTCCATGTTATGAATGACTAAAAAGGCTGAGAAACTGTTTCACATGAAAAGAGGACTAAAGAGACAATGAAGAAATGCCCTGCGTGATGCTGAACTCGATCCTAGACCAGAGAAAAAATTTATATAAAGGACATCATTGGGATGATTAGTGAAATTTGAATGGAATCTGTATGTTAAATAAAGTACTGAATCAATGTTCAATTTTCTGGTTTTGATTATGTTCTCATTTCTGGTGATATAGGCCAGTATCCCTGTTTTTAGGAAACACACGCTGAAGTATTTATGAGGAAAGGGGCATTGTCTGTAAATTACTCTTAAATAGTTCAGAAAACAACAACAAAACAACAACGATGTCTTCTATATGGAAAGAAAAATTTTAATGTGATAAAATGTTGATAATTAGTGTCATTGGTGGATTATAGGATTTAGGCATACAGGAATTTTTTTATACTATTCTTGGCATTTTTCTGTAAATTCGAAATGATTAAAAACCAAATTAAAAAACAAAACAAACCACCCTCCAATCCTATCGCCATAGGTGCTACGGATGAGATCTTCGATAAGCCATAAAATCTATCAGAAAGTAGCTATTAATACTATCACGGGATCATTCTTAAGTGGTAGAGAAACTTACTAAACACAGGAAGAGCTTTGTGCAAATGCATAGCGGGAAGAGAGCCTGGGATCCCTCCCTTCTGGACCCCCAGGGTCCCCAAGCCCCCAAATGAAAGCGTAGGGGGTTGAGGAGAGACGTCGCATGAGTACCGGGTGGAGGCCAGAGGCGATTAAAGGCGTCAAATTGGGGACTCTCCACACCTGAGCTGGCGCCAACTAACCAGATCGAGCCCGTGGAAGTGAGGAAGTGGTGCGAGGCCTTCAGCCCCGGACTCTCCCACCCCCTGCCGGGCGACCTCTCCTCTCCCTGAAGGTGGACCTGAAACTCCAGCACCTCGACCTCTGGGCCAGCCTCCATGGCCAGGTTCCGGGCTTGCTGGACTGGGACATGGGCAACGAGTCGTTCCTGGCCTTCACCACGGCGCACCTGCCCCTGGCCGAGCAGAACCGTGAGTGCGTGGGGGGCGGGGAGGCGTGGGGGAGGGGCGTGGTGGGCGCCCGGGTGGGGTGTTCGCGGGGCTCCCGGCCCCTTGGCCCCCAGCCCCCCCACCTTCGGCCCGGCGGACTAGCTGGGCGCCCGAGTGCGGTTTCGGGATCCCGCGCCCCCCC